AGATAACAGGTCTTCCAAGGTGCCTGCAACTTTCTAAGTGAGCAGAAGACTGATCAGCAGAAGTATAGAAGGGAGAATGTTTGAGACCTTCTAGATGGAACACCAGAGCAGGAGGCAAGAATTGCAAAAGTAAAGGCTACTGGAGACAGAGGTGTCAGTTGCTGGTGGGGGAGGAGGAGAGATCCTGGGCATTTTAGTGGCCTAGGAATAGGGGAAGGTGTCGGTTTAAGTTCTTGAGTGGGCTCAGGTGTATCAGGTGTGCCTCCAGCTGGAGAGTGCAGACTATACATGAGGATATAGACCCAGAGAGCTGGCAAAAAGAGGTCTTCCATGCTCTTCTCTAGTGTTCTTTATGTTCCTTCTCCATCTCTTTCCCTGTTCCTTATAGTCCCTTTCTGATGTAGTCTTTTTCTCTCTGATTTCCTCTTGGAGACAATATAATGGGATGACCAAGTCCTAGGTCACAATCCTGGCCACTTACTAGCTGTGACACTGTACCAAGTTACTTACCTTCCTGAACCTTGGTTTTCTTATCTGTAATGGAGACAGTGGAATTAGCTGTTTCATTGTGTTGTGACCATCTAATGAAATTATATAAGAGCAACTCGACACATAGTAAATGCTGAGGAGTCTAGGTGCCTCTTTCTTGGTCTGTCTTCCTTTATTATTTTCCAGAGGTATTATTTCTCCTCATTCATTTTTCCTGTATTCAAAAGCTCTCTCTTGACCAGGCATAATGTGGTATTTTTGTTGTTTTAGTTGGAAGAAAAAAGATGTATCTTCTCTCATGTATCAGGTGGGTCAGTGGAATAGTCTCCGTTTCTGTCAGTGTGGTAGAAAAGTACTGAAAAGATAGTGGGGACCCTTGCCTCTTTCCCCTCTAATAGCAGCAGCTCCGAGACCTTGAGCAATTCCATTAGGCCTCAGGGTCCTTATCTGTAAATAGAGGGCCTGAATTAAATGTCCTACGTGGCCCTATTCTATCTGCATCTGTGAGAAGATGCCAAAAATGAGATCCCTCAGTAAATGATGTGTGCCGTGAAAGGACCATGTCTGTTTTGCTTACCACTGTATCCCCAGCACCTCCAGAATGCCTGGCCCATAGAAGATGGCTCAGTAAATGAGGGAATGCATCCTTTACGACAAGGAAGGCGTTCACCAGGAATTGTTGTCAGGACGCCCATGGCTTTCTGGGCCCATCTCCTATAACTAAGCTTCAACTCAAAGTCTAGTTGTAGAAATTGTTTATCAGCTCAAATAGTCGACCGTCTTAGCATTTCTTCTCCAACTTCCTCAAGAGTTCATGATCTGTGTTCAATTCCAGTTCATTACCATCCTTTAGAGTCCTAGGCCTCTGTCATCATTAAGTAAACTCACTGTGCAAAGGTGAATACTCTGTTTTTGAAAGCACAGTGTATAATTACACAGCATCATAGCACCACCTGCAAGGTGCTGTGCCATTTTCTTTATTTCTCAAGGCAGCATCGCATACCTCATTTTACAAATGAGGAAACAAGACTCAAAGCAAGGAGCATTCCTTGGGCTCCTGAGTTCCTGCTTTAAATACAACACTATCTGTGACTCAGGTACGCCATGATCAGGCTTCTTCACACCTCCTCCAGCCCAGCAGTCCTTTGGAGAGCTGGGTCTTCTTCCCTTGCCACTCACAGGGTCCCTGATGACTTTCCTGTCAGTGTAGCTCTGTGAGGCTTTCCATTCTCATTCCTGCCTTGTTTCATTCTCTCCTCTCCTTCAAATAATTGATTCCTGAGGAAAAAATACTCACAGCTAACATTGTACCTAGTCTTGTAGGGCACATGTGCCCCCTACCTTCAAGGCTAAAACCTAATGGAAATATAATCTGTTTATTCTCTCATCAAGAATTCCGTGAACCTCTCCTTTGTACTCCTCCTTTGTATAGAAAACACAAGATTGCATGTATATAAGACAATGTTGGGGGTAGTAGAAGATACCATATAATTTAGAGCTAAAATGATGTGTTACATCCTATGAGTGCTGTGTAGGTCAGAAGAAATGAAAACATCAGAATTAGCTGATAGTTTAGGTTCTCTTTCAGAATGAATGTATTCTGCTCCTGAAACCATTATAAAAAAAATTTTCTTTCTCGGCAACTTGGGTTTACCCTGTAGTCTTAGGTTTACCCTCTGGTGTTAGTCTTGTCGGCAGAACTGGTAACTTTTATAGTAATATTGTGGAAATGTCAAGAATACCTAAAACCTGAAATGAGAACATTGCATAATACCATAATTATTTACTTCCCAAACTTAAGTAAAGCAGTGATTATAAATGATTATCTCTAGGTAAAGTAAGGAAAGTATACTTTTCAAGAACTTGTAACTTTTGTCTAAATTGGGGCATCATCGCCTTTCCCCGTTATTTTGCCAAAACTTGGATGGCAGAAGACTGGCAAGAAGAGAAACAATGACAGAGGTCAGCGCCGAGAACCACCAGAACATCCGCTGCCCTGGAGAAACGGCGCCGAGAACCACCAGAGCATCCGCTGCCCTGGAGAAACGGCGCCGAGAACCACCAGAGCATCCGCTGCCCT